ACTTCTCTTACACAGGTGCAGCTCCTCTTTAGACCATTTGCATTTAGTATTCAAGTTCAGTATGTAATATTATCCAATTTGTGGTTTTATTATTCTGACATCTTTGCATACTGCCCCTTTAACAGCAGCAAATAAGCAGAGACACTACAAACACATCACTTAGGGCACTTCTTCCTTATTTGCTGACTGGAGTCTTTAATTCTTTATGTATTTTGCCTACTAACATTACTTTTATTTGTTTTATCTTCATGACAGTGAATTCTGAGGATGCTCGGTCTGTAGATCTAGGACTACATTCTGAAAATGAGGACAGAGGTTTCTATACAGAAAATTTTCATTCTGCTTCCTGGGTTTTCAGAGGAGATGATGTCTCTCCTGATAATAGTCCTAGATGTCTCAGCAAAAGACCTAGACCAGTGGCAAGTAAGTTGTTTAAAGCAACAAGTAATAAATAAGTAATAAACAAGTAATAAATGTCTTAAAAATATATGTAGCTTGCACACTCTGAGGATAACATGAAATCAACATTTTGGAGAAGATGCCAGTTGCTTATGATGCAGACAGGAGCAAGAATCTAAATTCAAGAAACTAAAAGGGGAATAAATAAATAAATAAATAATAATAAGTACGTGGTTCTTATTTAACTACTATCTTGAAAAATATCGTAATTAATTGACAAAACTGATACTGGTAAAAAGTCAAAAATAAACATAATCTCTTGTTGCAAGATACATGTAAATGTAGATGTAATATAATTTCATCACTTCTTCAAGCATCACATTGTAGAGAGCTGTTTCTGGACATAAAGCTTAGTAGTAGTCATAAAATCCATTCTCCATCAAACTTTCAAACATAGTTGGTCAAGAAAGAAAAGCATCAAGTTTTCAATGGATATGAAGGAATTGTCTTGTTCTATTTGCAATTTAAACCCACTCATGTAAACAGATAAAGTGAATAATTTTGTGGGGGTTGTGCCATTTTCCTTCATTTTTCATATGATAAATTACTTAAAGGTAACACAGTTCAAAGAACTAAGAACAAAGTGGAACACCTATCTTTCAAGGAGATAGTTCTTTGTTGGAACTCATAAATTATTCACACGAGAGAAAAAAAATATCTTCTATACATCTCCAGATACGAAAAATCTCCCTTAAACTGTATGAGAATATTCTGGAGAGAATTGTGATTGCCTTTCTTCCCAAAGGAGAGCTCAGAAATTCAGCAAGATATATAAAGTACATATTGAAATATTTATGCTCTTTTAAGTAAACAATATCAACTGGCCTGCTAGTAAAGTAACCTCTAAAGCAACTTCAACTTTTCAAATATTACACAATTTGAAGACAAAACAGCTATCATAAATTATTATTAAATCAGCCTCCATTAAACAAACCCAGTAAAACAGTTCAATGATCAAAAGCAGACACAAAAGAAAATTCAAATTTACACAGAACTCTTTCATGACTATGAAAGAAGCAAGACAATTTGAGAAATGGTACTGATACCGACCCCCCCCCCCCTCCAAAAAAAAAAAAAGTTGAAACATGCAATGGAAAATTAAAGCCGATTTTTACTTTTTACTGAGGATGATTCTGTTATGTCTTAAAGTCTACTAAAATGACATTTCACATGGGTAAAACCACTGATGGTAGGAGATGCCAGTGTGGTGGGGTTAGAATTAGAGGCTGTGGGAGTGGAGCATGAACAGGGAAACGTGGGAGAAAAAAAAAAAATAAAGGATACAATTGATATCCAAGAGAGACCTAAAATGGAAAAAGAGTGATAGTATAATAAGTAGATTTGAAAATTTAGAGCGTGCTTTGTGTTTGCAGCTTAGAGGTCTGACATGCATTCATTTAACAAAGAGCAGAAGTATTTTTCTCTCCAAGAATGTAGTCAGTGGAGTGGAACATCTAAGCGCTTCTCTGCCACCTCATTACAAAGTCCAGCCACTTAACTGCTGATGAAAGTACATTTCATTTACACTGTTAGTCTTTGTGATGTTAGTCAGTCACGGTGTGAGGGTGGTATGCTGTGGAAGAGGAGCAATACCAAACAGCTAGGAGTGATGCTAAACCATCCTAGCCATCTGTGCAATCAGTAACTGTCAGTGCCTGTAAATAAAAAGGTTTAAAAATACACTGCTGCTAGTTAAATTGAATTTGATTTGCAGAGAAGAAGGGATCTCTTTTTCCATTTTCTGCAGTTCGTGAAAGAACAGTGAAGATTGCTAAAGGAACTGGCAACTACCCTTGGGGTTTCCGGATCCAGTTCTCAAAGCCTATTCTTGTGACTGAAGTTGACACAAGTAAGTTGTGTTTGCACCAGTTAAATTCTGCTAGGAAAACATATATAGTAAATATATAATATTAAATGATATAATACTATTATAATATACATAAATGAAAGCACCTATTATGTAATATATAATATTCATATATGTAAATATTTTTCGTAAGTAGTTGATTTAAAATGTTTAAAAAAACATACCCGAATAGCTGAAAACAAGCTATCTTAGAGCCTCACGTGTCTGTAGGCAAACAGAACCACACTGTTCTGTGACTTCCCATGCCAGTTCATACCTCATACAAGTGTCTTCATATAGGCTTTCTCCAGAACTAGTCTAGAGCTTTTTGTGGACTAACATCCATTAATGACAACAGACCCTTCAGGATGAAATGGAAGATGCCATGATCCTCCTAACAACACTCACAAAAGCCCAATCAGCTGGAGACAATTCTACTTGGATGGGTTTCTAGTGAGCCATCTACAAACCTTAACAAGTGGAACGTTAAGTTCTGTGGGATAGACTGAGGATTGCGAGGAACTCCTCATGAAAATGGGGGAGGGGGGGGGAGAGGAGAAGTACATATAGAGCTTTAACAAGTTAAACTGTAACAAGGATAAAAGATAATGCCCCTAGAGGAGAATGATGCAGAACATGATATTGGCAACTACATGCAAGAACGAAATCTTGGGAGTCACCACCCTAAAATCTTCAGCTGTGTGTAATGGCAGCTTGGAAAGCCAGCTAAAGTTGGCCCCATCAGTAACAGCAGTGACAATGAGACACTGGGACTCATTTGGCTAAAACCTTGGTTTCACCCTAGAGTATTGTTTACTGTACCACTCTCTGCATCTCAGGATGGACAAAACAGAGTTTAAGAAGGAGCAGAAGGTATGGGGAACTCAAAGATTTCTACTGCCAAAGGCAGATATAATTAAAAATGTCTCTCCAGACCAACAATGCTAATGAGTGCCCTTAGCAAGGCACCTAAGAATAGCTCTTAATTTCCCAGCTTAATGTATCATACTGATCAAGCTTCCCAAGAACACTGGGCTATTGTCAGAGGCATATGACCCCATTAGCTGAACCCATGATTTTAAAAACTGGATGCTTAGCTAAATAAAATCATCATTAAACTTCAGAAGAGAAAATCAGAAGAGTCAGAAAGCTGAGCAAAGGAGCAACATGCAGAGGAGAAAGAAAAAAAAAAAAAAAAAAAAAAAAAAGACATCCACGGAGGTCAACATGTTATTAAACATTATTAACAAACATTTTACAATCCTCCATATTTATATTAGAATCATGTTTATTCCCTTAAGACCTGAACATTGTTGAATTTATACCTTAGCCGTGTTTTGTGCATGAAGTCCCTGTTCAGTTCTATAAGTCATTCTAACTTGCCTCAGAGCAAACACGCAAACACTCTGCTTAATAAATACTAAAAATAAAGCCTTCAGTTCAGAAGAGCAACTCATGCAAAGGACAGACCTATTCAAAAAAAAAAAATAGGTAGGAAGTAGTTCTCTTAATATGTCTACATCTATTTTTTATACAAGGACCTTTTAAACTTTTACTGTTACCTACACGAAAATAAACATGATTTTGTCAAAATATCCTAGAAATCATTCACTATTTACACATCTGAATGCAATCAGTAATTTCCATTATCGACTGAAGTCTTGACAATAATGTAAATTTAAAAAAAAAAAAAAAAAACTTTGCCTACAGAATACTGTAGAAAGGACCCAGTAAGATTAAATATTGGCTATGTAATCCTCTTCGTCCTGAAACAAATACATACTTCAGAATACATTTTTAATTTATAGCCCTTGAAACCAGTTAATCTTCACAGTATAATTCAGTTGAAAAATGATTTACTGTGAATCTGAGAAAGTAATTTTGAAGGAAAAAAGTCATTCTGCTCATCTTATTAGAACCTTACTTTTGACTAAAAAGTTAAAGATGAGTATCAGTTGTTGCTGATTATTTTAAGGAAATAGAATTACTGGATTCAACCAGCATTCATCTAAATAGCATGGCTGTGACAATGTGTACTTGGATAACAACCAATGTGTACTTGGATAACAACCAAGTTATATCAGATTGTTTGGAATTTAAGTCCCCATTCATACAAAGTAATCTGTCTTGCACAGAAATGTTTCTTCTCTCTAACATTAAAAGTTTTAGCTGACTTCCCCATTGTAAACATACAGATCGCTTTAGTGCTCTTGAAAAGATAGTATAACCTAAGAAGAGGTCTTTTATATTAGAATGGGAGGAAGTTTTGTACCTAAATATAAATAGGTAATAGGTCATGAGTGAAGCATTAGCCTTAATACCTAACAATTTATTCCTATAAACTACTAATTAAAATGAAACATAGCAAAACAACTAATAGCATAGTATATCACTGTTATTAAAATTATCTTTATGTTCTGTCTTCAAATGCAGTTGCTTTAAAAAGATAGAGGATTCTTTTTACAGACAAACTTTCAGTGAAGTTTTATTTTCTCAAAATGACTCATTTCATTAAAACAAACATAAAACTTGCATCTGTATTCTTTTTTGTTTGCACAATGAAATAAAGACATTTTAATAAAGTTTTGAAGATTGTTTATGACCATAAAATTTTGTATGAAATCTACAAGGCCAACAGAAACCAAAGAGTCTGATTTGCAAATGATTTGTAATATATATGAGTGTTAACCGCAGCTTTTTTGTGCCAACTATTCATTATTAAGCTTTTATTAACCTTTTCCATACAATTTCTAAGCATTCTCAGAAACACTCTGAACAAACACATTTTGACATGACAGAAAAGTACATAGAAATTACTTTAAGTAATATAGATGTGGAACATTAGTTTCAAAAAAATAAAAAAACTTCTTTTTCACAGTACGTTAGGAATGCTTCATTATAGGTCAGAAGAAAAAAAAAGTCCGAGGAATATGTAGATGGAATCTAGATAACTATATACTAGTTCTTGTAAATGGACCATTTTAGCCAATACACAAAAGGATGATGTATTAACAAATCTGTTTCAGTCCCTCCTTCACTGGCCCTTATCTGACTTTCTATCTTATTTCCCATTAAAGATAAAACCAACAAAATATTATGGCCAAATTGTTAAACATCAAAAGAAACATCAGCACAAAAAAAAAGTTTAGGTCATCTTTTGGTCTTAAATCCAAAGCTCACCAGAATAAGGGATGCTTTTTCTACTGATTTTACAGAACATTGCACGAGATCTCTTTGTTTCTTGTATAGAATAAAACCCTGATATTGAAATGCCAGTTTGCTTCTTAGAGCATTTAAGTCCAAATGTCATTTTTAAAAGACGCTTCTTCACTGCTAGTGATTCTCTGTTTCTGAATGAGCAACAAAATCTTGAAGTTTCATTTACAGACCACTAACAGGTTGCTCAGGAAAACACTTTCCATCTCCAAGCTGAAGTCACAAAAGCTCCCAAAACCTGGATTTGGCTGACAGATACCTCTTTTGCTACAAGAAGAGAAAACTGATCATATTTTGTACATTAAGTCTAAGTAAAATTCCTTTTTTACTCCAGATAGTGCAGCTGAAGAAGCAGGTCTTCAGGTTGGGGATATTCTGATAGCAGTCAATGGAACTGATGTCACCAGCATGCCACATTCAGAAGCTGCTAATCTGGCAAGGAAAGGTAAGTTTGAGATCACAGTAAATTACACAGATGGGTCGTAATTGCTGTACAATGCTTAGAAGATCCAGACAAAATGGTTTCCCCAGACAAAACAGTTTCATACATTGGTTTTTAAATACACTAGCATTGCCTACATCTCTTATTTATCTAGACCATGCTAGAAACACAGAATAAAAGGGGCATATCTACAAAATATTCCCCAAACAGTACATTTATCAGTAATGCTTTTGGCTCTCCTGCCTTAAAGAAGAGGCTGAGAAAGTCCTGAAAGTGACTGTAGAGATCCTAATACCCTATTTATACCTTGTGCTTCCTGATGGAGAGAATTCACAGCTTGGTTCAGTGCATTGAGTAGTTATTTCTGTCACTGAGACCAGTCAGGAGTGCAGAGAGGTTATTTCATTGAGGTGTCCTTTTGCAGCATCAAAGAAACAAAGATTCAGTGATATTGATCATTTCATATTCTTCCTCAAATTCTGATGACAAAACCCAAAGTTACCCATGTTCACACACTGAAAGTCAGTTTACTGCAGTTCTTTTATTTATCCCAAATACAGTTTTGACAAGTGCTCACGGGAAATTCAATCAATTAAAATGCTTTTACAAGACAGTGACAAATTTGTCTTGACACATACCAAGTTCTTTAATTCTAGAAGTGCCATTCACACTGATAAGTTTAAGAGCCTGTCAAGTCTTTCAATAGATAAATCTCTAATTACAGGGTATTTTTAACTCCTCTAGGAGAACACCCCCTGTCCTGAATCTTGGCATGCAAGTAGTATTTCCAAAGTCAAATGTCCTCAAAAGAGAGATCCAGCAATGTTTTGCAAATGAAATTGTGTCATAGTCACATCGTACAACCTAACATTTGTCGTGAGTACTTACCTTGCAATTGATAAGAGGGCAGCTTAGCACAGGTTAAACTCCAACAGCAAGCCTCCTCAGAGAGGGGCACAGATAGTCGAAAAGAACTCCAGGACATGTGAAAGCAAGAATCTTCAAGAACATACTTAAGAACACAGAGAGTGAAAGTGACATTCTGGGCATCCTCAGTATTTTTTTTTATAAACGCCAAATTATGCATACACATTTGAGCAAGGAAATAAAGCCAATTCTCTAACCTAATAAAATATGGAAACGCCTAACCTGCTACTTGGAAAGATGGATCACAAAAACTGTTTTAGGAGGTGTCTTCAGATAGCTGTCTCCATTATAACTGCTCCAGACAAAATGAATTTAATTCCTGGATTCCTCACTGAGAGGAGAAGGACAAGGGTTAGAATACTGCCTTCCTGCTCCATATCCCATAGGGGTATTCAAAATTATTGATACACTGGATTGTAGTTTTCACTTATATTTTCACATTCTTTATGTAATACTTTAGGTCCTGATATCTTGACCATGGTTGTGGGATCAGATATCAGCCGTTACCCTAATACACCCAGGCCTACCTGCCGAGGATATTTGCACAAACGAACACAATCAGCAATATTAAAGGGATGGAGGAAGAGGTGGTTTGTGCTGAAACATAATGGCTACCTCCACTATTACAAACACAAGAAGGTAAGGAGACAGGCTGGTGAGGAAGGAAGCTGTGTCCTGAACTATGAGGGGAAGTAATATTGAAGTCATATTTATAAGCTGACTATCTTGATTTGTAATGTTTACAAAATAACACCAGTACTTAAGACGGTTTTTATATGTGGTGTGTTGAGCATACTTGTTGAGCAATTCAGTCTTCCTTTACACTAGCTGCTGACATACTCAAGGGTTGCTGACAAACTCAAGGGTTTTTGTGGATTCACATTTAATCTTAAAGTTCTAATCCTCAGAAGTCTGTGAATTGAATTATGGCATAATTTAAAAACCCCTGGATGTATAGCGAGTCTTAATGCTGTAAATCACTGTCTCTCCTGTCACCTACAAACATATGAGTATTCTACAAATTTTTTTGCTGCTGGGAAAAAAAAAAAAAAAAAAAAGTAAAACATAAAAACATAAAGGGGAAAAAAATCACATCAAAAATAAATAGATAGAGGGAGAGAGAGAAAATGCAGTTTTCCTTAGAAGCTCCATGGGTCTTGGCAGGCTCACCAGCAGCCTCTGGACAGTTACCGGAGGCTTCAGTGCTCGCCTTGCAGCCGGCATCCAGCAGGTGGGGAACTTGGTTCACAGGTGCTGCTCGTAGCCCTAGCCACTAACAGAGGAACTATTGTACGTGGCATTTTACCGTAGTTTGTGGGGCGGCTTAGCAGGTGCTACATGTAATTACAAGTTACTAATCCCTTCCCTTGTGTTGCTTTGTGATGAAGTTATTCACTGAGAAAATTACGTCTATAAAATTAAAATGGATTCATTTCAAAGCTTGTGGTCTGTTCAGGACTTTTTGTGGTAAAGCACTTTGCAGCTTGTAAAAAAGTTTCAAGATTATCCATTAAGAATTAACTCTAACCTTATTTCAAGAATACTTAGTGAAGCTGAAACAAGTTGCCCTAGTAATGGGTTTAGTACCAGATGAAGCCCAAGTAACACCTAGCTATATCTATTCAAGAGTTGGACTTGATGATCCTTAAGGGTCCCTTCCAACTCAGGATATTCTATGATTCTATGATTCTATGATATCTAAAAACATCAGTGGGTATATCAGCTGGTTAGAAACAAGTAGAAACACATTCGTCTGTAACACGATTTGAACACATCATTGAAATTAACCCATATGAAGTCCTAATCAAAAATGATTTTAAAAGCCTAGCATTGCACCAAGTCCATGAACTGAAAATAGTTTTGAGCTCTGCTACCCTGGTCAACTTTTGGTCAACTTTGCATATGAAGGATGTAGACATACATGTACAGATGCACGTATGTAGACATACCAGCACAGATTTACTATAAACATGAGTATAATCTAGACAGCAAGACAGTGTTAGAGTACTTCAACCAACAGAAGACAATAGGGAAGTTAATACAACAGTTTTCACTCCTGATCATAAATCTACCTTTATATTGTTTTTTCAACTACATCATTTCTCTCTATCCCATGCGCCAATCTTCCATCTATTTATTTCATTTGTCTGCTTATATATAAATATAACCTGTATATAAACTAGCCTGTTTATTCATTTTCACATTCATAGTAGAGCCAATCCAGTAAAATCCTCACTGTAATATTTCTCCTTTTTAGTAAAAAGCTAGAAAACAAATTATTATTTACCCTGCTCTCTCCTCCTGATGATCCTAAGAATAAATTTGTATAGACAGTAATGTTAAGATGAAGAAAAGATTTCACATGATGCAGTACAGTTTCATATCCAAAGTGAAATTATTCAAGTTTTCAGGCATTTAAGGTTCTTGATCAAAATCAAACACCTTTGTGGAAAAAAAAATATTGTGAAAAACAACTAAAAATTATAGAAAGAACTTGCTCTTCTGCAATTCTCTACCCACCTGATATTTTCAGTACAAAATGTGGTAGGCTTATTTCACTGCATATGCTGTGATATTAACAGTAGCCATCTAACAAAGGGGTTATGCTGCAGAACCACTGATAAATACCACAAAGTGGCCTGGTTTTCTGTCATCATTATTTCAACACTAATTATTGTGGTCTCAAACCAAACTAAATAAATAAGTATCATACAAACATTTAGGAACATTGAAGAAAAGTGTTTATTTTATTCTAATTGTGTCCTTCATGAGACTCCTGAAATGTAAAAATAAAAATAAATCTAATTATGCCTTTTAAACACCCTCCACTTCCCAATCAATTAAGTACCTTTTTAAGACACAGACTGTTATATAAATTGGATTAAGTATTAGAAAGTGCCTCATAGTCTTTCATTTATATTTAATTACATTTTCTTATTTCTTTAAATTGGCAGGTTTCTTTTTAAGCCTATCTTTTTATTTTATTTTTTTAAACATCTAGCCTTGTCTTATTTAATGCATTGAAAAAGTATTTCAGTCATCCCACAGTTATGTTTTGATAGTGGGCTTTTTAGCATTGAAAGTATGCCTTTGCTTTTTAGCTTCAAAACAGTAAATAAATTTAAAGCACCGCATAAATATGTTATAATAACGATTACTGTTTTTCTTTCATTATCAAAGACAAGTGTCGTTCAACCACTTTTTAAATCATTTCATGTAATTGTTTAAACAGGCTGCTCTCTCTCTCTCTCTCTCCATACTCCAGAGAATATGCACTAATATATTGCAGTACTATTTAAGCACCTGAAAGCATGAGGACCTTCTTCAGTGCTTCATGTGCTCAAAATAGTACTCTGAAGAGGTCTTTTGTAAGGTAGAAAGATGCTTATGCATAAACGCACTTCTTCACCACTCAGCAATCTAATATCCAAAGTAAGTAAGTGGAAGCTCAGATGGATTCCTTTTCACTATTCCTTTATTTTTATTTTTATTTTTTTTTTGTGTGTGTGTGTGTGTGTGTGTGTTTTCTATCTGGGCATAAGAACAACAACACATACAGATGCTGCTCATCCCACTGATGAGCATCCCACTCATCCTACTGTCCCACATCCCACTCATCCTACTGTCTTTTCTAAGAAAATTACAAATAATGTTCTTAGCATACCACAACACTTACATAACATGCCAGGTACACAACAACATTGGAAACATTTTGTTCCATGCTTTACCTCCCTTAAGAGGATAAATGTTTCCACTTAGTGAATATAAAATATTCTTTAAAATAGTAAATTAAGGGCAAGAATAATTCATAGAGACAAAAGTAGTTCAGGATAATCTGTATTTCAGTTACAAGCAAACTAACCAGATTGGTCAGCTTTGAGGTATACCTAGGGCTTGATGCTGATAGTAAGAACAACCACCTACAGTGGTATAATTCTAGTGACTCCAAGAATATCATGCCTGATTTACATTTGTGTAAGACAACCAGACTTTTTATTTATGCTTGAAGGGATGTATATAATGCCATGTCACTGGGAAGGGACAGGCTGTTTCATCTTCTGTTTTAGTTCACACCAGCAAACACAGCTACATTTCCTCATCATTGCTATTTACAGGTAGAAATTATCCAGCCTGAACTTTCTTTCTCCCACCTACATTAAAAAAAGAGATTGATGTTTCTAGAGCACTTTACATATTGATTCATCCATGTAATTGCTGCTGTTTCAGACTCATCTCTATCCAATCACAAACTGATAAATTGATAGCTATTGCAACAGATTCGGTCACTTTACCTACAAGGTCATCTTGTTTTCTGTAACGTGGATGCTGTCACTGACCTTTATTCATCAAGTACTTACTCATATAAGTAACTAAAACACATTTTTCATCTCAGTAGACATAGCTATGTTTGCCACCTCGTAGCAGGAACATGAACACATTAGGATTAGACCCTTGTTTTGAGAAAGTTATGGTGATTAGTTAAGCTTTATAGCAGTTTTACCTACACTTAGAGACAGTGAAGTCCCCCTGTACACTCCACATTCCTGATCCCTCATTGTTCAAACCACTGTATCTTCTCAAGCATGGTATTTCCTTCTTTGCATATGTATCCAAATTACCACCTGAAGAAAAGCTATCTGAGCACACTCAGAGAGAGACAGTGTCGTATACTTAGGTCGTACTATATAAATAGACAAATATGAGCAATCACATTTCTTCTGCATGAGCTTACACTTTTCTTCAGGGACTGAAAGTACATCATCATAGTCAAGTGTTGAGTCTTTCTTTATAGTTAGCGGTGTCTGCTCCTCTCACCCTAGCATTTGATGTTAATTACAGTGACTACAAAGTTACCACAAAATAACTGTGGTGAATCTTGCACTGTAGTACAGAGAAACCATAATCAACTTTACATGACATCAGGAAGATAATAAAAGCAATCTAGCCATGGTAGTAGAACACCAGCTCAACAGGTTAAATAAGTTTCAGTCGGAACTTTGAGCTGACATCACCAAACATCTTTTAGAACTTGACAGCTAACTTGGAAAATTAACAACATGCTACAGCCTTCAGGACAAAAAAGTACCAGACGTTAAACTCATAAAAAGAAGGAAAAGAATTCCTGGGACCTGGGGGCAAGTGGGCCAATAAAGAGTTTAAAGGTTGTGGAACATGCATTCATCTATCAGGAGGCCATACACACTGAAGAACTAACAGTGTTCTAGGTTTAATAGGAAAGCGCAATGATAAAGAAAGCATCATAGCCCCCCCCCCCCCCCCCCCAAAAAAAAAAAAACAGTTTCCCAGATTAACAGTTTCCCAGATTTCCTCATTACAAGTATACTTCATAGAAGAAGTTCAGCTAATTAAGTGCTGGGATTTACAAAACCACTAGAAATGTGAGCCAAAGCTAGATTTTCCTAGTTTCAACTCACAATTGGCTTTGTTTTTTGCTATAGAAGATTAGTATATATATATATATTATATATATATATGACATTATGGGTTAAAAAAAAAAAAAAAAAAAAAAAAAAGAAAAGAAGAAAAAGAAAAGAGTTGAAAAAATTAAAAGTAGTAACAAAACATCATGTTTCTAACAGTGTCCTACGACCTTTCTATTTTGTGTCTTACGATGTTTCAAGGAACTATTTTCTGTCCCTTTGCCATAAAAAACTCTGGGAAAGAGGAGAGTGAAATGGGACCAATCTAGTACCTGCAAGGGAAAATATGAAACAAATGTCACTGAGGTTATGGTCTAGGAGAAACTGTAAAGATGACTGGTTCCAAACAGGAAACTATGATTTTGATGTGTTTCCCTTGCAGACATAATATTTTCCAGAAATCCAAGACTAGTGTATTCTAGTAAAATCAGCTGTCTGTCAGGTGCTTATGTTACATTATTTCAGTTATTCCATTTCATTCCTCAATTCCCTCAGCTAGAAATGACGTGGAACAAGCTTAATTAAAAACAAATCCAATGATTTTGCTACCAGAATTTGGATGGACTAAAAGTAGGAAAGTAAAAAGAAGAAATGTGATAGAAAAAAGTAGGAGCAATTAAGTTGAAATTAGTTAAGATGGAAATCACTATCCTGAGAGTAAGAAAGTGCCTGTTTTAGAGATTGAGATGTAACAACAAACTGATTTGCAAGTGAAGAGCAATTTCACCTTTAAGTGTATCACCCATAGAGATATGTCCTTCAAGGCAGTTTTTCATGGTTCCTATGTTCTGGAACATGCTGCAAGAAAAATGCAACACATAACTACTGTGAGAACACATACTCAGTGAGAAGTACTCCACTGACCACAATGGA